GGGTAGACCATGCTGCTTGAGAACTGGTGCCCTAGCTTAGGGGTAGAATTTAAGGTCCTGTTGCTACTACCAGAAACCCTGAAGTTACATTAGCAGGAACAGTCTGGTTCCTTAATTTAGGAATTTAGCTTGTATTAATTTTTCTGGTACGACCAATTAGGGTTGTCTCTGCTGAGATAGCCTCGACTACTGCAAGTCGTTCTACAGCAGACTAGACCAAAGTCTGAAGAAGGGGTGGTCACTGGTGTTTACCTCCCCAGTGCAACAACTTTTAAGTAGAAAGTTAAACATGCACATAAATGCTTTCAGATACAAGGCAAACATGAAATGTATACACAACCACCTCTTCTTGTAACCCAACACTCTTCCTCTGGCCAAGCATGTGAACCACAGAGTAACATTCTCTTGCACTGGTATTTGCCTTGTAGCGCTGGAACATAACAACACTGGAATGTAAGAGCTTCACAAATATAACACACCTACAGAAAAAGTCTGTAGTGTACAAGTAGGCAAAAACCACAAGTACCCAACAAAACTGAAAAATTAAATACTACTTTAGAGGCCAAAAGACATACAACTGTTACGCTTATGGTAACTGAGTGGTTTGATAAACAAGTATTGATATACTTTCTCCTCTGCCCAAGTTTATTTGCTTTTCAGTTTCTCGGTCCTGTCCCAATGCTTGCACTAATTGTTTAGGGCCTCTTATAAATAGAAGCAGGGAAAAAGAAAGCAAGCTCTAAAACAGTGATCAAGAGGACTGGAAAAGTAGTTAACATTAGCTAACAGAAACCAACGTAATGTCTGAAATAAGCTTAACCTTGTTCTTAGAGTGGCTTTCAAACGGGCTACATTCCATTAACACCACTTGCTAGTTATTGGTCTGCTGGGTGTTCATGGCTTATGAGGTCAGCTATAGGTCTCTTACCTTTGGAGGCTTGAAAGGATATTCTGGTGTAAATGTGATGTCAAGGAAGAAAACACCTCCTTCATAGACTGAACCTGGAGGTCCTAGAATGGTTGATCTCCATTCATAGATGTTATCACCTTTGGGGCCAGCACTAAGAGAGAAAAAACACGAATGGTTTAGGAATATTACCACAGCTCAAATAAATATGACCTCTTACATTCTTCAAGTATGATATGGAAAAAGTTTTCAGTGTTTCATTTCATACACCACCTGAAGTAAAGATAGGGATTAAAAGCATATTAAATGCTTCCAAAATCCCAGAAATCTTACCTAGGCTCATTAGCTGAGAACCTAGAGGTGGGGTATGGTTTTCAGCCTCTCTCTCCTGACATTTATAAAAGCAGCATTGCCCAGAACTACTCCTAAACATGCTACACAATCTCAACATAACAGGAAAGTTTTCAAGAACAATTTCCTACTGTATTTCAGAAATGACTCTTCCAGCTCAGCCTTTACAAAACGGTACCCCAGAGACCATACTAAATAAATTAAGGAGTTACGTTGATTTTATTAATATCATGTGTTCTTTAAATGGCTAAACCAAGGCTCATGGTATAATTGAAGGACGATACTCTTAGATTCAAAATTCTCTACACTTTCATCATTTTGCTACACTGATTTCTAAAATGAAGTCACACGAACTCATCCCACTGATATTGTTTGTATTGTGGAACTGCTTTTGTAAGGGGAATTAAGATCATGGTGTCGAATTAAAACAGCGCTTTCCCAAATCAGCTTTGTGTTACTCTAGATTCTCCCTAACCTGCCAGCAGCTCACCAAGAGCAGTACGAACTAAAGATGTTGCAGAACACAAATGCCTGCTTGTTGGAAATTGGTTGTACTGAGATCCTCAGACACTTACATTCTGTAGCATGCCATATGTCATGGAGTATTTCTAAGTACAGCCCAACCTACAAAGCCATTAAAGCTTTAGGACTCCATTGCTACCTCTTTCTTTCTCTGCTGCTATGGCAGTATTTTATCTCTAAGATGCCAGAGCTGAAAAAAACTCCCTTTGCATAGAGGGAGGTGCTGACACAGCTTTTTCCACCATGGATGTGCTATGACTTCAGAAATCTCTCCTTGTTCGTAAGGGGCTGGATTTTAACATCCCTAACAATGAAAACCAGCCTTGCTCTTCTTTCTCCATTCTTCTAAAAAGGTTAATGTAAGACTGAAGGATTAAAAAGAAAAAGCTCTTTTCATATTATAACAATCATGGAGCAATATTACTCAAGAAGGAAGGCAATCCAATACATTCAATATATGCACAATAATATATGTTTGATTAATGTCAAGGGAACCGGGGTAATTGCTAGGTGTTAGTAACAGTGTTACAAATAGAAATACAATTACAAAAACATAAATTCTCAATGTAGCAACAGTGATCAGAGTAAAGCTTCTCTCCCCCCCGCTCTTTGCGGTGCTGTTGAGCATGTTCTTGGCAGCAGGGGGAAATCAGGGGAGAGAAAGGGAGTTAATTCTGCTATCAAACCTAAGATTTTATTTTCAGATTAAACTAAAAGTTCACAATATGTTGGTGCTAAATAGTTCAACAACAGCAAGGCTATAACTAAAAGCATCCTTCTGGGCAACGAAAGCATGTAAGAACGCAGAAAAAGGAGACAGGTTCTCTGCAAAGTGAAGCACTAGCCACCAGGGAAAGATTTCTCTCCTCAGAACACAAAACCCAACACAGTGGTACTAAATTAAAGTAAAAGCCAGTCCATTCTGAACACTCCTGGCATCCCACTCCACCTTAATGACTTGTCCCTGTTCTATGCAGGTCTATATATTTGGGCATCAGTACTCTCCAGCTACCACTTGTGCATTAGACTGGAAGAGAGTTGTATTCTGACAGGAAGCTCTACCTCTTCAAAGACACCAGCTTAACTATGCTAACTTACTGAAAAGGACTCTCTGGGGCACCCTTAGCCACCACTCCAAGGAATCACCTCATTACATACCTATCAGCAACCTACTGACACAGTGCCACTACTGCAAGTTCCACCATGATCATCCTCCCCTCCCTCCCCTACAGGTGGAGCTACTGACTAGAACAGGCACTTGAGCTTTGTTAGCACCATTTACTGTTGGAATTTATATCATGAGAACTGCCAACTGGGAGCACTTCAGCACTCAAGAAATGTGATGTGCCATTAGCATCCAACACAGCCCCCCGAACCAGCGAGAGATACTGCAACATTTTGCATTTTATTTCCAGCTTCAACCCAAAGGACTGACAATAAAATACCTCACAGTTAAAAAATAATCTATTATTATTTGTAATAGTCTTTGAAATCTCTTGTATCCTATTAGGTTTCCAATTAGAGCTATCACTGCATGCAAGTAATATACTGCTAGACCTCCATATTAAGAGAGGGCAACATCTTTGTAAGACATCAGTAGGCTTTAACAGTGATGCACTAAGCTTACCTTTTAAGCTTTTCATAATTCAATTAACAGAGTGAAATAACTATAGATATCCAATTTTTATAAGAAGTCAACGTTAATATGTAAAGGGTAGACTGAAAGAGGAAGATGCAAGTCAGCTTCAGAGTGCAATATTGCTCGGATTTAACTTAGGATGAGGTAAGATCAAGCAGCTCAAGAAGACCTAGTGCTTAATAGAAAAGTGACAATTCCAGACCACAGCGGCATTAACTTTTGGTGGAGATACAAAAACTGCCAAAGGTTAAAGATTACATTCTTTGTTTTAAAATCCCTGCAATTTCTGCTTCAAAAAGAAGTTCACTGGTGCGTAGATACAGGGTTCACAAGCACAGCTGCCGCCTTGCCTGCGTGTCACCACTGCTCAAATTAAGTGTCTAGATCTACTAATGCAACATTTTGAAGCTGTCCAATATATGACCACTGGGAAGACAATTTCCACCAATTAAATAGAAATTGTTTCCACTGCAAGACAAGAGTATGAGAGCAGCAGCTTTCTGTACTGAGCTCAACAGCCCACAACCTCTCCACTTCCAAAGAAAGAAATGAGACAAAGACCAATAATGCAGAGCAAAAGATGATATCTGAAAACCTGGAAAAATCCCAACCCATTATTATCATACTGGGAAGCATGTGTTACACAGCAGTGCAACTGAGAACTCTCTTCCCTGGAAAAACAGTGATACGCTCAGTGAAGATGGGCTGTACTCCCGTAACAACTATTCCTGATCGTTCCCAAGTTGCTGCTGGGCTTCTCCTCTGGGCAGATGTTGTGACAATAACGCCCTTAGGAAACTGCTCAGTGCCAAGGTAGTTTTTGTTTAAGGAATTTTTAACTTTCCAAGTGTAGAAGCAGTAGTCTGAATCCTCCTGGTAAATGGAAGACTGAGAAAAAGCCTTGGCACGGGTCAGACCAAGCTCAAAGTTCTGCCTGGGCCGAGCCCTAACCAGCCTTGTGTCACTTTGGAAAAACCTTATCTTGCTCTGTCTCCCTTTGCTGACAAGCACTATGTTCTTTTCAACTTAAAAACCAAACAGGTAAATTAGAAATGCCCGCAGCAAAGGCTGGGAAGCAGAAGGATGCCCGTGTAAATCTGCTGCATGCTCAGATGACATGGAATATTGAGCAACTGTAAACAGAGGACTCTGTCTCAGAGATTAAGTGTTCATAGAAAAGACACAGAGAAAGACACTTTTTCATGTATTGAAAAGGCCAAATGACAGTCTGCAGGAACAGCCAGCCTGTGGCATTCCT